GGGCCCGGAGCCCGGGGAAGGAGCCGAGGTTCCCAGCGGCCGGGGAAAGCGGGTCGCTGATTTACTGGCCGCCAGGCCGCGGGTGGGAAGTGCCCCCAAGCCCTCAGCCCTGCCCCTGTAAGTGGCTTCTCTCTGTAGGAGACAAAGGAAACTATCGATTTCCTGCACCCCTCGCTAGGGTGGGGCCCAGCTGGGGGTCACATGACGACTTGTTTTTCGCTGCCAGCCATGCAAACATGTTGACACGCTCCCCGTTCCAGTGGAAAACAGCAACGCGAGGGCCTGGGGGGTGATGTGCGGCGGGAGTCCCCACAGGGAGGGGGCAAGGGGGCAGGAAGGAACCAGGGCCCAGTCGCGCTCACCAAGATTTGAGTTTGGACCCAGTTTCCTGATGAAAATTTACCCTGAGTGGGGCTCCCCTTGCGTCCCCTGCTCCGCCAGCCCTGTGAGGTTTTAGGGGCTCTGAGTGGGGCCCAGTTTTCCATGGGCTCAGGGGCAACGTTCCCGCTAATCTTTTCCATCCAGGTGCAAATTTTTCCATCCATGTGTGGAATAATGTTATGTGCACCATGGCATGTGCCAATGCGCACCACCAGTAGATACAACACGTAGCGGTGGGCGCTCTGCTAATCAGCAGGCTGGCATTTGACTCTCTCTCCTGAGCGGCTGCACATCTCACAGGGAACACTTGTCAGTGTGTGTGTGTGTCGGGGGACACCCATGACCAAATCCCATGGTGCGGCATCTGTTTACACCAGCCACGAATCTGACCAATTAGGCTATCGGTCCATGGAGGGGACAGAAAGAGAAAGTCAAGTAGCCTCTGTAGAGGGCGTCAGAAACAGGGTGTGACGGGATTGTTTGGAAATGGAATGAAATTTCGAAATTTCCAGCAAAGCAAAATCTCTCCAGTCCTGTCCCTGCCCCCACCCCACGGCCCTTCCCAGCCCCTCTGGCCTCTGCCTTCCATTCCAGACACGGGCTGGGAATGGGCAAGGAGAGCGAATCCCCAGGAAACCCCTCTGCCCCACGACACTGAGAGGGGGCTGGGATGTGTGTGTGGGGTGGGGGTTGTCCAGTCTCAGCCATTTTTCCACCAGGCTCTCTCCCCCCCCACCTGCCTTGAGCCTTTCTCGCCAGTCCGTCCCAGAGGCACAGACACTGGGCTAGGTTGCCAGTGGCGAGGTCCCAGCCTCTGCTGGCACCGCTCTGGGCTAAAGGGATCTGCCCGCCTGGGCCTCCCTCCCCTTCCTTTCCCCCAGCCATCCCCCTTTATGTCAGGCCGGTTTCCCTGCCTCCTCGCAGGGCCGCTGGCTAGGGGAAATCGCAGCCATCCCAAGCCAAGGCAGCTGCCAGAGCGCCCCACCTCCTCCCATCTTCCCCCCGGGCCAAATTCTGTCTCCGCTGCACTAGTGGGAACCGGAGTGACTCCCCCTGGGGTCGGCAGAGCTGCACTGGATTTACACTGCTGTCGCAGAGCAACATCTGTGCAGCCGGTATCAGGGACAGTACGACTCCCAGGGCAGCTGTCATCCAGGGAACTTAGCGCACGGCCCCCGCAGGAATAGCTCCGTGCGACAGATGGGGAAACTGAGGCACGGAGCAGGGAAAGTGACTTGCTCGAGGTCTTGCAGTGTCTGGGGAAGGAACCCAGGAACCCTGACTCCCAGTGCCCACGGCTCTCACCACTCAAACCCCGTTCCAAAGCAGTGAAATCCAGGATTTCTGCTTCTGGGTCTGCTGCTCTAGCCACTAGACCTGCTCCCATCCTCCTGCCAGAGCTGGGAAGAGAACCCCCGAGTCCTGGCTTTCAGTCACTCGCTCTACACCACTGGGCCTGGCATGGGGGGCGAGGGGGAGAACGCGCCTGCACCTCGTGATCGCTCGTGGGGCCGATGGGGCCGAAACGAGGCGCTGGTGGGTGGCTTTATCTGGAGAGTAGCAGCAGGGGCTGGTTTCCTGGGGAAGCTCCCACACTCCCACTTCCCTTCCTGCCAGTAAACAAACTTCCCGCGGACCCTGGAAGCAAACCGGGCCGGGCCGAGGCAGCGCTGCCTGCTTACTTGCTGCACCTCCAGTGGGGCGCTGAGCAAACCCACCCGGCAATCCCCCCCCATTCCAGCACGGAGGGGGTCTTGGCTGAGCAGGGAGGAGGTGACGGGCTTCCCCCGGGTCCCTCCAGGCCGTGTGGCAGGGAGCCCACATTCCGGCAGGGAGCGAAGGGAAAGGAAATGAGGCCGAGGAAAACTCACAGGGGTCAGCCGCCTCCCAGCGCCCTCCCACTGGCCCAGTCCCCCCCCCCCTTGCTCCACTGTCCTGCACATGGGGGTAAAAAGCCCAGCGAAGCGGCGGTTGATACTTCCAGTGCCAGACTGGGAGGATTAACACCCGCTTTGCACAGGTGTAAGTGCCTGCACAGGGGGCGGATCCGCAGACACTGGCTGTGTCAGACGGGCACTGCCTCCTGACAGGGATCTGTGCTCGGCTGTCTTGAGATACAGTGAACCACGGACGGAGACAGACAAGACAAGGCCCCTCTCCATCTACCACTGCAGGGCTGTTCCCTCTGGCTAAGGCTCCCCAGCACCCCAGGGAGGGGAGATTCCCACCTCTTCCCTTTGGAAGAGGTGGAGAGGCTGCCATTAGCTGGCAGTGCATTTGAAGCCCTATAAGTAATAATTGCACCTCTACAGGGATCTTGAACCCATTTTACAGATGGGGAAAATGAGACCTAAAAAGGAGATACCACTTACCCAGTGTCATTCAGCCAGCCAGGAGGAAGAGCTGGGGGTCAAATGGAAGTTTCCTGTACCCCATGCCAGTGCTCTAACCACTAGGCCACAATGCTGCCACCAAACATTTACTCCTAGAGCATTGGGACACACCTGAGTGCTCTAAACCCCAGCAGGGCCAGTCCTGGGAACAATGCTTTCTGCTCCCTTCCTGCTTTTCCTCCAGAAGCCCTACAGAATTGCCCCCAAGCAAGTATTACTTCCATTTGTCAGGATTGGGAAACTGAGGCGAGGATAAGTTAAGTGACGTGCTCAAGGTTACTCAGAGAATCAGAGCTGGAGTTTAGGGGCCAAATTGTCAGCGGGTGCAAATCGGAACAGCCTCCTTGAAGTCAGTAAGGCCGTGCCGATTTCTTGTGGGTCCCCTCACCATCTGGGCCCTACCCGATTTCCGTGGGCCAGTCGCTAATCCACAGGCTCATTGTGCCTGGGATGTTAAATATCGGTTAATTGAAGAGTCAATTAACCTCAGGAACTCTTATGGGTTAGTTGACTAGTCTACAGTCCCCGGGAGTGAGGCTGGCAGCCAGTGCGCTCTGGCCCCACTCCTGCGGCGCAGCGCAGGGTGCCAGGCAGGAGCTGGTCCACGAGGGGAGCCAATTTCAAAAACCAGCTTCCCTTGTGGACCGGCCTGTTACCTCATGCTGCTGCCTCTGATAAAGAGGCAGCAGCGCAGGGTGGCAGCAGCCCCTGTCTAGAGAGGTGTCATAGAATCCTAGAGCTGGAAGAGACCTCAGAAGGTCATGAAGTCCAGCCCCCTGCCCAAGGCAGGACCAATCCCGACTCAATCAACCCAGCCAGGGCTTGGTCAAGCCGAGACTTAAACACCTCTAGGGATGGAGACTCCACCCCCTCCCCAGGGAACCCAGCCCAGCGCTTCCCCACCCGCCTAGGGAAATAGTTTTTCCTAATATCCAACCTAGAGCTCCCTCACTGCAACTTGAGACCAGTGCTCCTCGTTCTGCATCCGTCCAAGCTCCTGGACCCAGCGCGAGCGGGAACGGAGCCGGGCTGCCTGCCCACCAGGCTCCTAATACACTTTAAATGCAGAGCCGCAATCCCGGACCCGTCACAAGCCAGGACTGAGCCAGCCTGCTAAATACTTGACTAGCAGGGGAGAGGGGGACGCGTGCAGTCTGTAGCATTCACCTATCAGCTTCTGTTTATCGGTGAATTGACGACACTATCGCATCCCGACATTGTGCAAAAGGCTCGAGGGTTCAGACCCCATGGAATTCGCGCCGTTGGGTCTTGGTTCACCTCATCTCAGCACCCCCACTCGCCACCAGCCAGCCACTGGGCCAAGGAAAAGACTAATTCAACAGGCAGGGCACTCCCTGCTGCCCTGGCCCCAGGCAGGGCTGGACGGCGGAGGGTCTGGCTTGGGAAGAATTGTTTCCATGGAGGAGGGAAGGTTGGTGATCCCGACCCAAAAGGCTGGATTCCCAGCAGCCCAGGGAAGGAGATGGAAACAGAGTCAGAAACAGGAAGTTGATGGGGTGGGGTTGGAGATCAGTCAGCAGGGGTGGGATGGGGACTTGGTATAGGGAGACTCACAATCCCACCCACATGTTAGTTGCTGCTGGCTGGTCACCTGGAGGCAGCTGTGGCACACGAATGCACCCGCTCCACCGGGGAGCAACCCGCCCACG